CATAATTTTTTGACAACTGTTTCAAAAGCAAATTTCGCAAAATTATGAAAATTTTGGGCAATTTTGGACAATGTTCGAATCTAAAAATATTTTCTTGCAGATTTCGACCTCCAGAATGAAGTTAGTTTCAGACTCTCTTAACATTTTTCCAAAATCGCCACTGAAAACTACAATACGAAATATTATAAAATTTGATTTGGGGAATTTATTTATTTGAACTTTTTTTATTCGGATAAAACTCATTTTAACATTCTAGTGCAGTTCAGTTTTCAATTTTCCAACTTTTAGATTTGATTTTTTAAATTTTTATTTTTACTTCCCAAAAGTAAGCTAAAGGAGTATTGTAATCGAAGCCATTAGATGACTGGCTACTTCTATATTGTCTCGACGTTTCATGACCCCTGCAGTACGAAACATAGGTTAGAAATTTAATAACCGAAATTACCGGACAGATTGTTGTCAGATTTTGATCCCCACCAACAATTGAAAGATGTCTTCTCCAAATTTTATAATAGTAAAACACGGTTTACAGAAGTTCAATTAAATATTTGATTGAAATTAAATTTTCAACATGGCGTTAGAGTAACACGTGACCGATTCTACGCCAATCGGACTCGCTAAACACCTCGTTAAATGCCTGATTAACTTAATCTCACTTGAAATTGTATAAACTGGCCCTAAAAACTACTTTTATAAAAAAAACGTACCACTCCATTTGTAGTTTATAAATCCGTGTTGAATTTCTATCCTAGGTATCGAGTTTTTTTAAAACATTAAAATTTTTCTCTTTCCCAATTATTGGAATTTTAGATTTTTCGGTTTCTCGATTTTTCAACTACGGATTTCTCCATTTTTCGATTTTCAGTTTTGGCATTTTCAATTTTTCAGATTCTCGATTTGTCAAATTTTCGATTTCCTTTTTTTTATTTTCCGATCTCTAAACTTTTCGAAATTTCAGTTTCACGATTTTTTAATTCTTCAATTTTTTATTTTTTTTATTTTTTCATTTTCAAATTTTCAATTTTTGACGTTCCTAAGTTTTCGTTTTTGAATTTTTCAAATACTGGACTTCTCGATTAATCGATTTTTCAGTTTTTGTGTTCCTCGATGTTTCAATTTTTTTCGGTATATTTCACTTTCGAGATTTTTCGATATTTCGATTCTTCAAGTTTTCTATTTCGCGAGTGTCCCATGTTTCAGTGTTGGAATATTCAATTCTTGAATTTCTGATTTTTTTTATTTTTTGATCTCTAAATTTTCCAATATTTTAGTTATACGATTTTTGAATTTTTTGATTCTTCAATTTTTAATTTTGTTGATTTTCCCGTTTACAAATTTTCAATGTTTGGCGTTTCTAAGTTTTTGATTTGTTGATTTTTCGAATTATTGACTTTTCGATTAAACTTTTTTCATTTTCTGTATTCCTCATTTTTTAAATTTTTTTGATTTTTCAATTTTTCTGTTTATTTCAGTTTCTGGATTTTTCGATATTTCGATTATTCAAGTTTTTGATTTTTCGATGATGCGATTTCTCAATTGTCCCATATTTCTGTGTTGGAATTTTTAATTCTTCAATTTCCAGATTTTTCAAATTTTCGATTTCTGATTTTTTTATATTTTGATCTTTAAATTTTCCATTTCAGTTTTACGATTTTTCGAATTCTCGACTTTTTGATTAAACGATTTTTCACTCTCTGCATTCCTCAATTTTTCATTTTTTTTTATTTTTCAATTTTTCGGTATATTTCAGTTTCGAGATTTTTCGACATTTCGAATGTTCAATTTTTCGATTTTTTGATGAATAGATTTCTCGATTTTTTTCATATTTCAGTTTTCGCATTTTCAATTCCTCAATTTTCCGTTTTTCAAATTATCGATTTCTCAGGTTTTTATTTCCGATCTCTAAATTTTCCCACATTTCAGTTTAACGATTCTTCAGTTTTTCATTTTTTTGATTTTTCCATTTTTCAAAGAGTCAACTTTGGACGATACTATAGATACTGTAGAAAATAAATTATTATTACGATACTAAGTTTTCGATTTTTCTATTTCTCAATTTATCAATTTTTCGATTTTTCAGTTTTTGAATTCCTCAATTTTTCAATTTTTCGGTATTTCAATTTTGCGATTTTTGGATTAATGGATTTATCAATTTTTCAATAGTTTTTTGACTTTTCAATATTTCGTTTCTTCAATTTTTCGATGATTCGATTTCTCGATTTTCCCATGTTTTAGTTTCGGAATTTTCAGTTCTTCAATTCCCCAATTTTTCAAATTTTCGATTTCTGATCTTTTTTATTTTTCGATCTCTAAATTTTCTGAAATTTCAGTTTTACGATTTTTCAATTTTTTTATTCTTGAATTTTTCATTTTTTTAATTCTCTCGTTTTTGAAATTTTTTTTGGCGTTTCTAAGTTTTTAATTTGTGGATTTTTCAAATTCTCGACTTTTCAGTTTCTGTATTCCTCAATTTTTCAATTTTTTTTTATTTTTCAATTTTTTGGTATATTTCAGTTTTGGGATTTCTAGTATTTCGATTCATCATTTTCTCGATTTTTCGATGATTCGGTTTCTCGATTTTTTTATATTTTAGTTTTAGCATTTTCAATTCCTCAATTTCCCGAAATTTCAGTTTTACGATTTTTCTATTTTTTGATGTTTCAGTTTTAATTTTTTTGATTGTTCCATTTTTTAATAGTCACAAGTTTTCGATTTGTCGATTTTTCTATTTCTCGATTTTTTGATTAATCGATTTTTCGTTTTTTCAGTTTTTCAATTCTTCAATTTTTCAACTTTTCGGTATTTCAGTTTCGGGATCTTTGGATTTATCGATTTATGAATTTTTGGATAGTTTTGGGATTTTTCAATATTTCAGTGTTGGAAATTTCAATTCTTCAGTTTGACAGTTCATCAAATTTTCGATTTATGATTTTTTTATTTTAAGATCTGTAAGTTTTCCGATATTTCAGTTTTACGAATTTTCAATTTTCTGATTCTTCAATTTTTCATTTTTTTAATTTTCCCGTTTTTCAAATTTTCAATTTTTGGCGTTTTTAAATTTTTGGTTTATGGATTTTTAGAATTCTCGACTTTTTGATTAATCGATTTTTCAGTTTCTGTACTCCTCAATTTTTCAATGTTTTTGATTTTTCATTTTTTTTTTGGTATATTTCAGTTTTGGGATTTTCGGTATTTCGAATCTTCAATTTTTCGATGATTCGGATTCTCGATTTTTCCATATTTCAGTTTTAGCATTTTCAATTCCTCAATTTCCCGGTTTTTCAAATTTTCGATTTCTCAGTTTTTATTTCCGTTGTCTAATTTTTCCGACATTTCAGTTTTACCATTTTCCAATTTTTTAATTTTTCAATTTTTTATTTTTTTTTTTGTTCCATTTTTCAAATAGTCAACTTTTAGCGTTACCAAGTTCTCTATTTGTTGATTTTTCTATTTCTCGATTTTTTGGTTAATCGATTTTTCGATGTTTCAGTTTTTGAATTCCTCAATTTTTCTATTTTTCAATTTTTCGGTATTTTAGTTTTGGGATTTTTCGATTTATCGATTTATCAATTTTTTAAAATTGAAAAATTCGTCTAAGGCTATTTAGGTACAACTTTCCCCGACCTTAAGGCCCAACAAATTCAGCTTCTTCGAAAAATTTTTAAATTTTATTTTAGAAATAAAAAAATATATATACTTATTACCAATCACAGTGTAAAAAAAGTAGGTGGTTATGAGGAGATCGAACCGGCGACCTCCACGTGTTTCGCGGTCGTTAGTCCGATTCTACATCATCCAAACTTAACATTTGGGGTCGAACCATGAAGTTGGCATTCCAGCTATGTGACCCTAATTGTGAAACCGAACAAGGAACATAACGATTTTAAAAATAAGTTTGATGGCCTTCTAGAAGGCTTTTTTCAAACATAACATAAAATATTGATATATAATGTGTATTTGTTTGAGAAAATCTCATCGCCTGGGGTCAAAACTCAAGACAGAATCATAAACCACAAGTAGAGGAGTATGTTATTTTTAAAATTTCAACGGAATTTTTTAGATCACGATATCCCCAATCTGTTTTCCTGGTTTTCCACGTACTGACTTTTGACCTTCTGACCTTTGATCTGACCTGACCTGAGCTGACCTGACGAACAAATCTCATGCTATGGACAAGATCGAAGTTTTCCGTTCCAGTCAACATGAGTCAACGTATTAATAAAAAATTTCAATAGTAGTTTGCATTATTAATACAAAGTCAGCCGCATTAAAATAATTTATACTACCTTTTAGAACTAATGCCAAACTTTCTATAAATATACGAATTAACTAAATGGTTATTTTTCCGCTTTATTTGCGCTAATATACGTAAAACACTTCTAGAGGTAAACACCAAATTGGAGCTTTTTACTTAAAAAAATGCCCCCATTGTTTTAATAGATATTAATGGTGAAAAAAAAGCAAACCAGTTTAATGCCGTCTTGTACATTTCATATCTAAGTATTTAAATCATAATTTCTGGCATAAACTGACTAAATCAAGCTTTCATGAAAATAAAGTTCGCCTGAAGCAGAGAACTATGAAAGAACTAGTTATATGCAAAATTGAAAACTGTGGGAGAGAAACGAAACAAAGGATGGCCTGCTTCTGCTACTAATATTGATAGACGTTATAGAGAGGAAAATAAATATTTTCTGCTTCCAGACAAAGACTGACGTAAATAATAGAAAACTATAAATGCTTTAGATGAAAGTTTTTATGAACAAACTAAGATTTATGACTGGTACTATTTTCACACTGATAAATATGATTAGACTTATTCCTCCAACACCCTTCCATACGCAGTCCCGTGGTTAGCTGTATTTGTTTAATATTAAGTAAATCTGTTAGCCTTTAGAAGTTCGCGAGCGATGTTGTTGGATGGAATCCGCAAACGTTTGCTCAGATAAGTCCTTCGGCGGTGTGTTTTGCAATAACTGAGTTTGTTGTTGTTCTTTCAGTGCCTCCGGATATCCTGGACTACCCTACTAGCACCGATATGGTGGTGCGTGAGGGATCCAACGTGAATCTCCGTTGTGTTGCCAAAGGATCACCAGAACCTTCAATTACTTGGAGACGAGAAACCGGAGAGCCGCTCAAACTGCCAACTGGAGAAGAAGGTGATTATAATTTATCATGTGATACACAACAGAAGCAAAGATTTGACGTAAAGTTGATGAATGAGCAACTCGCGCCTCTTATTTATACCATGTTATTGAACTAATTCGATAAACGCGTCTTTGTGAAGAAATGACGGTAATGAATTGTGAAAGATGAATTAAACTCATACTTCATCAGACGAAAAGGACGAGAGAAATGCAGCGTTCGGGTGCATTTCGGTTGCTTGATTAATCGACTAACCGCTAATTGGCGAAAAAATAAAGTCTTGACTCAAAGTTTAAATTAGCGTTGGTAATTGCGCACCCTTAATTATTGACCTAAGACTGGGGAACGGTTACTTACTACGAGCTAAAACATTATTTTACAAAATTTGTATCCTAACTTAAAACATAAATAAAATGTTTTAGTAAATGTAGTAGTAAGACGCATTTGTGTGTTTGGTCTCACAGATTAAGAACTTTGCTGTAATTCGGCTGTTTTTAAGACAATCATAAAGTGGATAAATTTGGGGTAAAAGTCTCACCACAATGCGAATTTAGTTTGGCCAACTACCAAATTAGACCCATTTCTACATTTTACGATATTTTACAAAGTTCATTAGGCTCGGAATGGTGTAGACACAAAGTACTTTCTCGTTTTACGTATGTGTTCTTATTTGTTGAAATGTCGGGCAAACATGAAAGTAGTCATTCACCGGTTGGACTCGAGTACAATGCTTTGGTCACGCTCGACCGGTAAAATCCGTGAGTTTTACGATTTTGTTGGCCTTCAGTAGAAAACTTTTCGGAGATGTTTACACAGGTCCCGGTCGTCTAGCCGAAGGCTGCTTTTAACCCAGCCGGAACATTATTGTTACGTCCTTATTATTTTGGTAGACAGTGGAAATTAATTTAACACTTAAGCACATTTAATATTTTTGCTAAATAATTTATTACATTACTTCTGACAAAACAGGTCAAACGATTTTATGACGTTCAACTTTAATTGTGCTGGTTTTCTCATCCAAACACTCTTTCTTTATCTAATTAGGTAGTAACGCTACGCACTGGTTTCCACCCACAATTTTTAAAATGATCACATCCCCTGGACAATGATCTCATCTTCTATTTGTCAGCAGAAGTCGCCCCAACCTGTCAATTGTCATTAAAGGTTAAAGTAAATCTGTAGCAATATTCGAAGAGCTCATCATCCGTGGTGTGGGGATTGGGAAGCGAATGATTCGATGAGAAGATCAGCACAATGAAGGTCGAACAGCATAAAATCGTTTGGCCTGTTTAATTGTACCTCGTCTGCTCATCCAAACACTCTTTCTTTACCTAACTAGGAAGACGACACAAAACTTGGACATTCTGGAGAGTTTACCCATTTTTAACGTGGTGTAGGGTGTGAAAGCGCACCTCGCCTTCAGTTAACTAATATACTGTTTGTATGCTTTATAATTATAACGTCACTTTTTCGTGGAAATTTTCAACAAGTAATATTTAGCCAAAATAATCTTCAGAGATATAACTTGCTTAGTAATTAGCACCAACAGGAGGATTAAATGGATTATGAGGACATAAAAAACAAAATTTTTTGCTGGCTTCTAGTAATTTCGTGAAGTCTTAATCTAATCTGATCCCTCTATGTCCGCCCAAATTCTCCCTTTGTGTGCGACTTAGTTTCAACATGTTTTACACGATGTTTTAAACTTTTTTACAAATTTCACTCGTAATTTAACAACATTGAGAAAAATATTCATAATACTGGAATTTACAACCGGTTAAAAAAAGAAACTTGCTGTAGGGGTTTCCGAAATAATGTTGAATTGTAACTGATTTAACATCATGATTAATGGTATATCCATAATGCACAAAATATTTTCAAACAAATTTCATTTCCGATACTTAATAATATGAACAAAATTTGATAAAAGTAAACGCTTCAATCGGTCGATGTTTCCAAAATTTACCTCAATTACACAAAAAATTTGGCCTTACTGTATAACTCACTGAAACATGAACCTTGGTATTGAATTCAAAAATTAACATGTAATGCATGTAATTAAAGAAAGCTCACTCATTTTAAAAAGCCATATATCAAGTCGCACAACACCGTAATAACACTGACCGGTAATTTCAGTGCTTCGTTCAGACAGCCACATCGCAGGGTTTTCAAAATAAAAAGAACACAAAGCAGCGTTTCTACGGTAGCAACATTTCAAAAGCCAACTTATATTTATTTAATAAACGTCCACGGCAAGGTCGTGCAGTATAATACAACAGTAATAAAAGTTGCAGACGGTAGTTGGGCGTTTGATATTAGAGACGTCTAGAGGAATTAATTACAGCGCGAAACGTCAAATAATGACAACTTACCACAACTCCAGTGTCGAAACAGTAGTAGTTAAGAAATTTGATGAAACGTAAATTTGGGAAGCTATTTTGTGGAGATATAATGCGGTAATTGCATATTTCATCACGTACTTCTGCCTGATTATTAAATTAATAATGAAGGACCTATATGGCGAGTAAATGAAACACGTCGTGTCAAAATAGTGCATACTAGGAAAATAACAAAACAGTCTATGTTTCTAAAGAGGAGTGTTCGGATGAGAAGAGGTAGCATAATTAAACACGTTAACGATTTTCTGATGCTCGACCTCGACTGTGCTAGTGTTCTCACACCTAGTTAAATAAAATAGAGTGTTCGGATGAGAGAATGTAGCACAATTGAAGTATTAGAAGATACTTTTGGTAATACTCAGTTCGTAACTTTAAATAAGTGACGAGCCAAAAGGACCGAAAGAATATCAGCTTTTCTTAAAAAACTCTAACTTACTAGCGTTGGTTACCAAGCGACTTAGTAGATTTCCTAGATTTCCATGCTTTTTTTTCAGATTAACTACAAAGTCGTGTATTAGATTTAAAAGGACTTGTCCTAATCAACAGCTACAAACTATCTGAACACTTCAAAGGTGGGATAATGAAAGTTCTTTTCAGTTTTTTCTATTTCATTAACAAACACTTAACGCGTAATAGGACTCTTGAGTTTCAGGTGTCTGCTCGAATTTTTAGAAACTTTCTTTATTATGCGCCTGAAACGCAACGGTATCCTTTACTAGATGAGACTATGGTTCTAATATTAAGATTTTTTGTCAACGAAATTTTCATCAGGTCTTGTTACATACCCTAATTATGCTGTTGATGTTTACTTAAATAAACCACAAATAACTGGAATCTAATTTGACTAATATTCGTCATATAAAATATTCGTTCTGTTTTTCATCATAGTGTAAATTAGTTTTTCCAGCTTAATAACTTGTTACACACAAGTGTAACTTGTGCGAGACAATACTGTAGTCTACTACGAGTACATCAAAAGCTTTTGCAAATCCAAATAAATTACCTAATGTATGTCCAGAATTTACTGACCCTAAGGTAATTGTTGATGCTTTCCACAATTTTTTTAATCCACCTACATCAAAAGCTGCTCTCCAGTTAATTTATATGCTATACATTCAAATATTCCTATGCTACATGCTACTGAAATTTCTGAATCAAATGTAATGTTTTACGCTGGCTATTGAAACCGTTCTCAGTTTACAGAACTTTTGCAACACGAAAAATCGTGTGCTGGAGTGGTAAGTCTTCTGAAGGTATAGATAACTCTTCTAATTGCGCATATCCCGTATGCTGAATTATCATTTTTTAAATTATCTGACCTAGATTAATTATTGCAAATTGTTAGGTTGAATGGGGGTTTAATTTATTTCTTAGTAACTCGGATTTACACGACAAGTTACAGAGCGATTAGGTACAAAATCATTCCGGCGCAACTTGACAGGGTTTTCTCGATACTCGTTGGACTCGACTCGACTGAATAATGGATTTGACTAGACTCTACTCCCTTTGTCTAGACTTCACTAACTGCTCCCGACGGTGGTTCCCATTTAAACAACCGCTCGGTCCTTGTCGGAGGTCTCCGTCACTACTTCTAGGCTTGTTCTCGAACAGCCGTCGCGATATCCGCTTCCAGGTTCCTCTCCGGCCGCCGTCAGCTACAATGAGTCATCGTTGCTAGTATCAGATGATGTCTGTTGTGTCCATCATTTCTATTTTTTCGTTCATTTCTACCCTTCTTGCGCTTATTTTTTCGTTCGTTTTGTCTAATCTTGAGTCCATTGTTTCGCCCGTTTCTTTATTTCTTGCGTCCATTTTTTCGTCAATTTTTTTAATTCCTGCGCCCATTTCTTCTTTTATTTCTTTATTTCTTGCGCCCATTTTCTCGTCCATTTTTTCCATTATCTTGTCCATTTTCTCATCCATTTTTGTAAGCATAGGCATGATCTTTTCCTCCATTTTCCCAGCTTGAGCTTCCGTCTCGACAGGTATCTTCAGAATTCTTGTCCCATCTGCCCAAAAGTCGTCGTAAAATCTGTTATATTAATCTCAAATCTCACTTCCTACACCAGTCTTACGTTGAACGGATATTTAAAATCGGCGTGGGTAAAACTCAACAACCTATTTCTCAATAACTCAAATTTACGCAGCGATTATGTACAAAATAATCTGTCTTCGGTTAACTCGATTCATTAACTGAATAATCATCGTTCCCGACGGTGGCATCTATTTCCTCTCGATGGACCGAAAACGCCGCTTCGAGGTTATTCTGGGTTGCCCATCGCGACTTCCGCTTCCATAGCCGTACATACTAGTACCAATACGCGTCGTACCGGGGCTGCGTATGGGTTCTTTCGTAACAATACATTGATAAAGATGATATCAAGTCTTTTAAGTTTTACACTAGACAGTCCGTTCGAAGACATTTTCTACAAAAAGTACCTCGATCTCTGTACGGTCGATAGCTTCTATTTCGTTTTCTGTCAGTATCAGGGATCCACCAAGTCTGGATGATATTCTAGAAAAGAAATATTTAGTCGAAAAGTTGTTAATATTCTATATTTTCGCTTTTTTTTAATATACATAGTATTCTTGAAACAACCCGACACTCAAGAATA